CTTTGCAGAGCTTCCTGGCCTCTGTTGAGGAATGCCATCCGGAGGGGCAAGCAGGAGGGGCTCCTCCCCAGAGGGCATAGAGAGAGCAGCGGTTGGACTCTCTGCTTGCTGGGCAGGAAGAGAGCGAGGTCGGGCTCTCCCCAGCAATTCATCGAGTATATATCTACGTGATTGCAGTTGATGCTTCAGTCTGTGCAGATTCTGTGGGTAGGCAAACAACAATAAAGAAAGTATTCAAAAGTAACTCCACGTGTCTTCCTTGGTTCTTAGGGCCAGGCAGGTGAGGCTGGTGGCAACTGGTCATCGTCCAGAGACCCATGGTTCCGTTACCTCCTGTCATCACTACCGAGCGCCTGCGTCCCATTCTTCATCTCCCCATCCACCAATGTTCCTACCATCCCTGTCCTATTGTTCTTTTATTTTATTTTTTCTTATATGTATCCATGTATCCATAACTGTGTTTTTATTTATACCTATTATCTTGTAAGCAATTGACAAAACCAAATAAATACATAAATAAATCCCCTCCACTTGGCTCTCTGCTGTCTTCTGGCAGGCCTGGTGGTGTTAAGAAGCTGGACCAGGGCTATGGGGTAGACAGTATTGCCTCCAGTCTCTCCAGTTTACCCTTCAAGAGAGCAATTGGCCTGTACCTAATGATCTTCAGCAAATAGAACAAACTGGGCACAGTCCCTATGGTCACAAGAGCGTTTCCCTCATATGCAAACAATTAAGCCAGTAAAAAATGTCCTTCCCTTTGACCTCCCTGCCCAAACTCTGCTGAGCTGCCTCCCTTACATATCTCCTGAAGGTGCCTCAACTAGATGAGCAGGAAGCAACACTTGGATCTCACCCGCTGGGCAATCAACAGTGATCAGTCAGCAGCCTTCTGCCCCTCGTAGCCCTTCCACCCTCTTTTTTGTGTAAAGTGATTGTAGGAAGGTCTAAGAGAACATCCAGTTGTTTTCCAGAACAGACACAGGGGTTCCACAGGGAGGAAGGCAGGAGGCATGCAAGTGAGGATATGTGGTGATGCAAGACCCACAACTTACTTCCATAGGAAAAGGCCTTGCTTTTCACATGAATTTTTGTTATACATTTTTCATCTTTGTGATTGAAAGTATTACTATTATCATATCTTGAAGATATCTTCTCATCTATTCCACAACCTTCTCTTATTGGTATCATTATTATGATTATTATTTTGTTATTTTGCATGTACACTGAGAGCTTCTGCACCAGAGGCAGATTCCTTGTGGGTCCAATCACACTTGGCGAAATAAAGCCTATTCTATTCTATTCTATTCTATTCTATTCTATTCTATTCTATTCTATTCATGGGTTTGTTTTTGCCACAGCTGCGTTTAAATGTGTGTTGTCATTGCTTGTTTTTCTACATTTTAATCTGTAAAATATTGTTAACTGTCCAGAGTTATGAATTTAAGATGGGCAGCCTTATAAATCAAATAAATAAATCTTATTGGTCTAGATGGATTTGTGGTTTATAGCTTTTATATCTCCATACAAAGCCTCTGAGTTGAATTTGGAGTAAGAATTATAGAAATTCCAATTCCAACTTTCCCCCCCAGCTAATTATACAGGATGAATCATTGTAGAGATGGGAGAAACTTAAATACATTATTGTTCCTATATTTTCTAAGCTCACATTTTATTCTCTTATGTAGAAACATTTTTTTAAAAACCCCAAAACATGTGCCTGTAACGTAAGAAGACAAATAAAAATATTTAAACTTAAAAATGAATTTAAAAGTTTTAAGTTAAATTGTAAATAATCATTCATTATTATGAGTTCCTACAAAAACTGAAGCTGGAAAAAGCTAATTTTATAATACAATTTGATATGAAAAGTCATATAAAATTTGGCTTTGCTCAATCCTATTCTTTATTTCCTACACTGGAAATAAAAGTAAGGCATATAAACCAATCGTTATGTTATAATTTCTATCAGTGATTTATTTGGCCTTGGAAAGTTCTTTTGTCTTTAACATGAAAAGGACATAAGGAGAACTTGGGAGAGGGAAATGTGGCAGCATGGTTGAAGTTTTGACCCTTTTTCATATCAATTCTAATTTCATTTGACTTTTCTTGTTTTAGCAATTTGCATTTAGAATTTGCAGCTGGAGTTTATGGCCCCTGCATGTTGCTAACTGTCTTGGCGTTCTGTCTACCTTGGGACTTGGTTCCCTTTTCAACATCTTATGTCCTTAAAGTTCAGGAATGATGTACTGGCAGTATTCCTGACCTCCCCACAGGTAGTCCTTGGCCTAGGACCTCCACTGGAAACAGAATCTCTACTGCTAAGCAAGCTGGTGCTTAAGTGAGTTTTGTCACCTTTAGTTAAGCAGATCACTGCAGTTGTAAAGTGAATCACATGGTTGTTAAGCAAATCTGACTTTGCTTGTCCGAAGCCCGCTGGGAAGGCCCTAAACTGCGATCAACGTGACCCTGGGACACTGCAACCATAGCAAATATATGCCTGTTGCCGGTGTCTGGATTTTGATCACATAACTGTGGGGATGCTGCGACAGTCATATGTGTGAGGACCAGTCATAAATCACTTTTTTCAGTGCCAGTATTAACTTTGGACACATGCTAAAGAAATGGTTGTAACTCGAGGATTACCTCTATATGCCTGTATTTTTGCCATTATTAGGTGCTCTGATTTGTAACCCTTTAAGAAATCCTCTCGTCCTTTTATAATGCTTAGTATTTGTTTTTAATTCTGCCTTTACATTGCCTTTTTATATTCTTCATTTCCTTATTTTTACTTTTGTTGGAAGTCAGGTATAAATGGAATAAATAAATAAATGCCATTCTCCCTTCCAGGTTTTCTAGATAACTTGAAAAAGCTGCTTCTCGATGAAGATAAAACTGTGCGACAAAAAACTACAGAGGTCCTATACATAATGGCAACGCACAGCATTGGCAGGTAGGTATTTTGTAAAAATGCGGTTTGAAGAGAAGGGGGGAAAATGTAGTTATTGTTCATTATGTTTTCCAGATTCTGGAAAGATGAATTTATGGTGCTCTAAATTTTAGGACGAATTTTGTAGAACACGGAGTCATCCCGGCCCTGGCACAGCTTTTGGATGATCCTGTTGATATCTGTCGGTGGAACATGCATTATGCGCTGAAACTACTATCAGAAACGCCTACAGGTCAGGTTAATTATTATACAAAATCTTTACAATCTTTGATCTCGTGCAAGCTTTGGGTCTTTCAAATTCTATTTTATATGGTTGCAAATGTGTAGGATGGCGCCAAATATTTGCACTGATGCCGTGTTTGCACTGCTGCACAAAAACACTCAGAAGAATAATTTGGGGTTCCCACTCGAGCCAGGATTGCACAAGGATAAGTAAAATGAAATTCAGACAGCAGTGAGGAAAGGAAAATTATTTATTTCCAAAAGCAAAAAGGTTCGCCTATGGATAAATAGATTAACTGAGTTGGAAGGGATCTTGTAGGTCATCTAGTCCAACCCCCTGCCCAAGCAGGAGACCTTAAACCATTTCTGACAGAGGGCAACCCAGTCTCTTCTTGAAAGCCCCCAGTGATGAAGCTCCCACAACTTCCGAAGGCAACTGTTGTTCCACTGTCAGAAAGTTTCTCCTTATTTCCAGTTTGAAGTTCTCTTACTTCAGTTTCCGTCTATTATTCTTCATCTGGCCTTCGAATGCTTTAGAAAATAGCTATGGGGGCAGCTGCAGAGAAAATGGGGTGCAGAGGGGTGCTTCATAGGGCAGCTTGTCCTAAGTATGGAAGGGTGGCACTTGAGGAGTGTGTGTAGGTACATGTCAAATGTGTGTAGGTACGTGTCAAGTGCGAGGCTTATTCTTGTGAAAGTGCTCTTCCCCTGGGAGACTGCCTTAATTAACTGTGTTTACAGACCTTCTCTGATATATAGAATAGGTCTGGGTAGCTTATTTGGGGTTAGGGTTACTCGATTCACTGAGCTTCAGCTTGATTGTCAATTATTAAGCAGAGACACTGATTCTCTGTCCATCGTGGATTCTGTTAATGTTTCAGGGAAGATGGAGATGGAGGAATAAAATATATTTTGATGTGAAACTTCCCACAAAACCTTGATGAATCTGCCTCCTCCGAATCTTTCAGCCTGGCTTCTCTGCTTGAGGTGTTTGGAGCTAATGAAATGCCGGTCGTGCTTTCAGTGCTTAGGAGGCTGGATGAGCAAAAGATCCAGGCACAGAAGAAAGGCTGCGGAGTGGAAAGCAAGTCGGGAGGAATAATAACAATTCTGTCCCTGCTTGCAAATGCAGCCTTGTCAGGCAGCTCTGTAGGTCTGTGTTCTGTCTGGGGACACAAATCACAGGAGTGTTTGGTGTGGTTCCTTCAGTCTTGCTAGTGTGTGGCGTGCATCAGCTCTTCTGGATGTATCCTGCGGTTAAACAAAACTGGTGGTTAGCTAGAGGCATGAAGATAATCGCTATGTATGGAATCCATTTAGAAGCCAATGGATGCTTTAGGATATTTGCATGTCTGGCCAGGCTAGGAGAGGAAAGGGTTGGATGGAGATTTTTCCCAGGCCTTGGACAATAGATCAGGCAAGCTGATCAGATTGGAATGCACACTTTTCAACGCCTGTTAACTCTCCTTGAGCGTCAGAGCTAAACCATTTTCAGGCTGAACACTGGAATTGGTGAATGATTCAGATCTTCCTTTAGTGGTTCTTATGGCAGCCTTTTTCAGCCCAGCATCTCCTGGTGTGTTGGAATTGCAACTCTTAGCCAGGTTGACCAGGTTGACCAAGACCTCTTGAGAATTGCCATTCTGGCGCACCTGGAGAGCAGCCAAGTTGTGTCCTGTGACTTCTACTGACTGCGGTCATCAAGTAGTACCTTATTCTTCATTTCAGCTATTTTTCTGGTGCACAGCAGCTTTCCTCTGGCTTAAACACCCCTATTTGTTCATTTCTAGAGCAAGATACACAGCGGTGACCTTAAGTTTTGTTTGTTTGCAATTTAATGGGACTAGGAAAGGAGCCATTATCTATGGTTGAATTCAGACAACATGGCTGAATAAGTTAAAACATGGTTGGGGATTCAATAGCTCACTCAGTTGTTGGGAACTCTGTCTCAGACAAGCTCTTTGAATCAGGCCATCATACTATGCTACCATATGGCTTGTTTTGATACAACATGTTATGTACCCACTCCTTGTTTAAAATTAGTGACTGCCTCAGTTCACAACATTCACAAATATACAGTAGATAGTCCTCGGCTTACAATGGCAATTGGGATTGAATCACCACTGCTAAACAACACAGTCATAAGGTGTGACATCACGTGACCATGCCAGATAGTGACAGCAATTCCAACGGTCCCAGCTATCATCATTAGGCAAGGACCTCATGTGGCCGCAACTTCCTACTTCTTTCTTCTGACAAACTGGCAGGTAACGTCAGGCATCACAATCACATGAGTATGGGATGCTGCGACATTATCACGAGCTGGGCCCTGAGTACTTGGATCGCAGACCCAGCAATGCTGCAGTGACCAGAACTCCAAGGACCGGTCTTAAATCCTACCTGTTCAGTGCTGTCATTTGAACAAATGGTCATAAGTTGAGGAGTTCTTGTATGATAATAATAATAATAATAAATCATTTTCTAATCAACGCACTCATTTATAACCAAATTTCATATGCCTATCAATATGTGCCAGGGTGAGTATAATGCTGGTGTAGTTGCATGATAGAACTGATGATAGAAGATGAATGAGATGGTAACAACTAATGACCTTTGTAGCGTCTTTCTCTCGCTCTTCCCTCCCTCCCTCTCTCTCAAACTGATTCTTGGAATAGAGCTTGGTCACAAAACAAGGAATTGAGTTGGTATTTTTGGGAACCCAGCCATTAAATGCAATTTTCAATCACTTGAGACTAAGGCAAGGAATACAGATTTCTAGGGAGAAATGTTGGGCTTACGGATATGTTGCTGATTACTTGTTTGTGTACTTGTTTGCCCATACTTTGAAAATGTGTATTTGTGGGAGAGAAAGGCTGTTTCATTGCCATCAGTTGGTTACCAGTTTGGAGAGTCAACGTACAGGTGGCTATAACTGCTAAATGTTTATCCTGGCCTGGTGCTGACCCCGATGTCTCCAGGATGAGGGCCCCTGGGTTCAGGTGGGCAAGACAGGGCCACCGCTGTGAGCAGTGCGCAGTTGAGGCTGCCTCGTCCGGCTCCCCAAAAGCTCAAGAAAGCGGCTTCCGTGTCCCAGGCTTTCCTTTCCTGGTGCTCAAGGCAAAGGGATCTGGTTCTCAGTACTCTCAGGTAAAGGTGTTGATCACTCCATCACATGTTTTTTTGGGGGAAATTTTGGATAAAAGCTATTCTTTACCATATTGCAAGTGAAAATTCAGCTTTACAGTGTTGTCTGTACTAAAGGTTCATTGTATGGGCTTACATACGAAGTGTTTCATTTGTCTAAGGCTATCTCTTGGGATTAAAAGCTTCCCCAGAAACGAGACTCCGTCGTCTGTGCGCCATTGTGTTTACTTACCTTTCCCATTTCAGTTAACTGAACTGCTGGTCTTCTTGTCTCTTTCATTTTCCTCCATTTTTAAAATTCAGATTTATATACATTTTGCATCTATATCCTACGAATACCATATACATATCCACTCTGGCTATTTAAGAAATGCATTTCATTTATCAGTAAGGATAATTGTCTCTTGACTGTGTCAGAGTATCACAGGCATCGCTAAATGAGCCTTTCCCCAAGAGCTCCTTCCAGGCCGCAGGGACAGGTGAGCTCCCAAGAAAACTAACCTGACCCTCTTACCTGCTCTGGGAACCCCTTCCCAGGTCACCCAACCAGCAATTATCTACAAGACAGAGAAAAAAGCATTTAAGTTCCTTTGACTTTTCCTAAGGTTTAGCATTGATCTAAGGATTGGCTCAGCCCCTGCTTAATTTTTTTGAGTAGCGTCAGGGAAAAGAAAGAACGGTTTCCAGTCGCCTGCCTGTTGGCTCCTGGATCCCCTCTGAAGGGGAATGTCGTGGCCAGGTGCCTTCCAGCATCTTGTTCCGACCTGGAACCTCTTTGGTGGATGCACAATATCTCTCCCATTCTGAATCCCCCCCCCCCCCCCGGTGTGGAAGCCCCTCAGGCTCCTCCATTAGCTTCATTGGCTGTCCATGCTGAGTTCCAATCCAGTCGGCTGCTGGATGCCTCACTGGCCTGTTTTGGTCGCTGTTGGTTTTTCCGTCACTGCAAAATCTCTCCTCCCAGCTCCTGCAAACCAGCATCCTCTCCCCAGTTCCTCCCACAAGTCAGCCAGCATCCCCATCGCCCCTAAGCACCTTTCAGCCTTCAAAGGGGGGTTTCCCCCTTGCTGGGCTTATTTAGTCCACACTTGTGATATCTTCCCTCAAACCTGAGGCCTCCCCCGGCACTTCGGACTGGCAGAGCTTTGACTACATCATCGTGCCAAAGGGTTTTTTTCCTTGGTCTTTTTCCCTTTGGAAACACTTTGCTTCTCATCCAGGAAGCCTCTTCAGTTACGAACTGGATGTTTGAGAATCTCCATAGACGACATACACGCCTGCATTGATTCTCCCCTTGATAGTGCAGAGAAAGTGTGGAGCTCTCTGGCCTCCTCCTCTGTCCATAAGAGATCCGTGGCATCCTTCACTGGTCAACTTCCCATCCACTGATCCACTTGCCAGGGGACTAGTGGCCTGTTGCTCTTTCTCTCTCTCTCTCTCTCCCAGCAAGACCCACAGAATAAGGGAAAGTCTCATCTGCCCCATACGTTGGACAGAAGTCAGTTTCGGGGGACTGAAAGTCGACGACTGCCATCATAAAAACTCAAGAGTGGCTTTGCCGGATCTGGCTAAAAGTTTCATGTACAGGTAGCCCATGACTTAGAACTGTAATTGAGCCAGGCGATCACAGTTGTTAAATCATGATGGTCATAAAGCAGATCAGATCTGATTTGATGAAAAAGCAGATAGCAGATGTCATGGTCATTCAGTGAATCCCTTGTTCCAGTAAAGGAGAATATTTGCAGCTCAGGGTTGAAATGAGAGGTCCCTGGTGTTTTCTGAGCTTGGGTGTTTTCTTGCAGACACTTCATTATCCAAATTAGGTAACATCATCAAGGCTAGTAAAGTGTGCCTGAAGGCAATTTT